GAAGAAAACATTCGGTTTTCCTTAACTATTCGTATAATGTATGCATAATATGCACACGTGACTTCAACCGAGACTGAGCTTAGCTGGGAGGATAATCAGTGTACCTTACTTTCAGACATTTTGCAAGTTGATTCCAATCTATTGTAAAAATGTTTTTTCAATAGAACACAATGTAGTTAATCACAGTAAGCACTAATTAATTTTCCATTTGATTTGCTTTATTTAATACTTCTAGATAAGAAGAAACAGGGTGCAGATTAAAGTTATTTACATGCTAGCAAGGAATTTATGGCTTTCAATTTATCTTATTAAAGACTCCTTAACTGCGCATACCTGCCTGATATCTGACTGATTTTTTAACCTATTATTTTTTGTTCAAATGTCAACGGTTTATCCACTAAATTACTGAATGCACATGGTCACTGGTTTGTGTGTGTTGTAGTTATTGGCATTAGGTTCAAATATTAATGTATATATCAACAATGAGATCTAAGTAATCCAGCTAAGAAGTCTCAAATAGAACAAAAAATTTGTCATGAAGTCCACGCTTAGCCAGTAATCAACTTTATTCCATACAACGTGTCTTGTCTAAAAGAATCATAACGAGTAAATTAAACAAAAGATCAGTAAACACTTAAGCATGGATTATGTTAATGGATGAAAAAGCATGCAAAAATAGTATCGAATAAATTATGTTTCAGCTGTCAGTACACTATTTGAATTGCATGTTGTTATAATAACCACATAATAATCATAATTGTTAGATTCTAAAAACTGACATTTATTTGGCAGATGTCAGTGCAAAAAGTGATTCACCTCAAGATTTACGATAGTGGAAAATCAAAAATATGTTTATATCTAAGAAAAAAGGATAGAATAATAGGGACTTGTAGAAAGATTTTCAGGTTAGTTAGACGTTATAACGACTTTTCGTCTATTTTAAACATACATTTTTGAAATGAAAATTGAACTAAACCAAAAAAATGATTGAAGTTAAAAGTGTGCACATTGAGTCCGGTTACAATAATCTAAAAATATCGTGCTAGTTATAAACGATAATAATCAGCATTTTTATTATTTTCTTATATGCTGTGGTCATATCTTCATTGTAAAACAATGCAAAACTGACCTAAGTAACAAGTAGATTGATTGACAAACTATCCGATAGTCTGTTAGTGATTTGATAATAACAGACCTCACAATGTGAGATGACATTGCCATTTAGTCCTTCTTCAACAGTTTGTGTTCAGTTTTGATATAAACTCAAAGGTTGATATAAGCACATATGAGTAAACGTTCAAATTGAGATAAAATCTTTTATGAACAAAGTATCTCACCAACGTTTGTATCCAGACAAAATAAACAGTACTCCTGATAATAATTTGTTCATCAAAATCTAAACGACAGAAGATCTCAACATACATTATTTCATCTTAAAAATAGTAAACAAAATGGTTCAGAAGATTGAAAAAAGAAGTATAACAAAAATATTTATTTATTTTGTAAGCTATAATTTGGTAACAGTTCATGAGATTTAAATGTAAAAGAAATATACCGTGATTCTGACCATTGGTTCAAACACACTTTTCTAAATATTCCAATCAGTATATCAACCCACGAAATTGAGTAACCGTTCACAAATGTCTTCACGGAGTTTGTATCTCCTAACAGACCTGGTTGAAATCCATTGGTTACTGTTTCTCACTAGAACTCCAGGAAATACCTCAACCAGTTGAGACTTTAGCATTTAATCTCTTTTTTTGCAATTAAAATATCCCAGTTATCAGACTGATTAGTTAGCATGTACTTAAAATACTTGTTAAAAAAAATTAACAAATATATTACTAATATAATACAAGTCAATTCGTTATTACTCGGATACTGTGTCCAATAGTTGAAGATATAAATAGTGGAGTATAAGGATAATTTAGAATATTTGAATGTAGTTTGTGTTATGATACACTTGATGACCACTCCATGTTTCTATGTCATATCAAAAGCTTCAGTTCATGATTTTTATCAAGTATAATAGGAAGCTAATATATTTTCTGGTATAGGTACTTTGAGATAAAAATAAAGATAAGTTAATTATACTGCATATTTCATACGCTTTAATTTTTAATATGATTGCTAATACTTACGATTATCTGCAATCATCACTATTTTTCGATAGTTTGAAAATATCTGAAAATGATGTGAAGAAAACAAAAGTGGTTGCAAAGTTTCTGTAGTGTTACTTAGTCACTTAGTTACTCCTGGTGCCCTACGTGAAGAGGAATAGGCTCGTTACTAGCATTCTCCATCCGTCTCTGTCCTTAACAGTCTTTTACAGCTGCTTTCATCCTTCGGATATCTGCTTCGAATACCCTGGCCTTCCTGTTTTCCGGTTCCCTTCAGGATTGCAAGTTAGCGCTTGACTCGTGATGAAGTTTTTTGATTTCCATAATGTATATCCAATCTATCTTCAACGTTCTTTCCTAATTTTCTCTTCAGATGGAACCTGGTCTGTTCTCGACCATGATAGGCTGCTGCTGATTGTATCCGGTGAACAGATATTGAATATCTTGCATGGACAAATGTTTACTTATACTCTCTTGATGATGGTTGTGGTAGTTTTTGAAGTTTCAAATCCGTATGGTAGAACTGTGTTGACGTTCGTATTGAAGATTGTGACTTTGATATTGTTTGACAGTTGTCTTGAGTTTCATATGTTCTTCAATTGTAAGACAGCTGTTGTTGCTTTGCTACTCCCAACGTTTACGTTTGCATTAGGTCCCCCTTGACCAGATACATGAGAGATTCTACATCATCCTGAGCTCCCACATCAAGTGCAACTGGATTTGTGTTATCCGTGTTGTATTTGACGATCTTGCTTTTTCCTGTATGTATGTTGAAGCCTATTGATACAGAGGCTGCTGCTACAACAGTTGTTCTCATCTCAATTTGTTCGTGTAAGCAGCCTTGTCTAACTCTGGTCCTCATATGGAATGAATATGTCAGCTGTCCTTCATGCACCACTCTACACTTTAGTCCGTCGTATGAATTCCGGATGATGTTGACAATCTTCTCACGTGCTCCATAATGTTGAAGATGGTTCCATAATGATCTAACACCCACATTGTTGGAAAGCCATTCTGATTTCTTCGAATTTTGGTGGAGTGACGTCTATAGGAATGTCTGTGTGTGCTGCTTTGATGTGTGGTTGGTTCAATGGGGTTGGTCTATTCAAGAGTTTTTTTGGTGTTCTACTCACTTGTTCCTCTGATCTTGAATATCAGGGATCGGAGTGCTTTTTCTGTCCTTGACCGGTCTCTCTGGCTTACCATATTTCCCCACTAGTTTCTTTGCTGTGCCATATAGCTGTTTCATATTTCCTTCCCTTGCAGCTTTTTTTACTACCATTACTAGATTTTCCAGTTATTTCTGCTTGTCGGCCCTTATTTGCTTCTGTGTTTTCAGTTTGTGCCTTCACTTTCTCTATTTTTGCTCGACTGTTATTAGTTGCTGTCTTCTCGTTCTTCATTTCTTGGACCTTGTCTTGGGTTTCTGTAGAGATCCATCCCTTATGATGATGCTTTATATGACTCAGAACCTCCTGGCACGTTGAAGTTAATGCTTCTTTGATTCTTTCCATGTGTTTACCCCAGTCGTTTCTTCTTTCAGATCTCGTAAGGCTTAGAACCTGTCGTTATGAGTTATCTTGAATTCGTTGAGTTTATTAGTATCTCGAAGAAATACTGTACTGGACCTCTAAAAAGCTGTTTCTCTAGCCCCCTAGTGTTTCTTTAGCTTCAGTTTCATCTTGGCAACCACCAGGTGGTGATCTGAAGCTATGTCAGCTCACCCCTTGGTTCTCACGTCTTGCAGTGACCTTATAAATTTTTACTGATGCGAATATGATCGATCTGGCTCTCCGTGATGTGGCTCGGTGAGACCCATTTAGCTTGTGGATGCATTTGTGGGAGAATATTGCACCATTTTGTTGAATGAACATAAATTTGAAAATATTTTACCATTATCGTTCCTTTCTCTCACTCAGTCCATGTTTCCCCATGATATCTTCATACTTGATGTTGTCCATTTCGACCGTGGAGTTTATGTCTCCAATCATGAGACATGATGTATTCCAAGGAATTTCGATTTCACTTTACATCAATCATCATTTAAATAATTCCTTGTTTTGATAAAAGAATGTTAGTGTTTACACTTGAGTAGTGGATTGTCTTCAAGATAATATTGATATTTCATAAAGATTTAGGAGTACATAAGGTAGTTAATAAACATTATTAGATAGAAAGTAACAAATATTAAACATTTTTTGTATAGCTGAACAATTAAAAAACGGGTACACAATAGAATTAGACTGATCGTAACAGATATCACTGTATATAAATATTTCCAACGGTCAGTGGTTCGTCGAGAGAGCTAAATTTTCTAAGTTCCGTCAACGATGGAGAGACCTGTGGAAGAAACCAAAGAAAGAGCAAATTAGTTATTCATTGTCCTTTGATTTTCAACTGAACCCCGACTGATATAAATTTGTGAACAATACAAGGAAAAAATATTTCAAACCTTTTTTTTAAACAACCGCAAAATCTGAACTAGTTTGATAATATTTCAAATTAAACAAATTAACAAATGTTTTTTTTATTAACAACGACGTTTTTTCTTATTGCCTCATTTGTCTATCGATATCTACACAAATACTCATTGCTACTTTAAATCTTAAATCTAGCTCATCGAAAATACAATTATCTAGAGTAAGCCTTATCAACGAATTTATATTTCTTTAGCATTCGAATGGTTTTCATGGAATTTTGAAATTTTAGAAATTATATTGTGAATTTCAATTCATAAGCTGAATTCAATGAATGTGAATTAAACAATTTTCATTGTCAATAAAGTATATCTAGTAATGCATAGTTAAACTGATAGAATTCAATTTTAAGTGCTAAATGAGATATTATTTCATACCTAATGTTTTTTTTCTTCCAACTCAGCGCTGATGAACGCTTAGAAGAACGGCGAGAATGTGCTGTTAGAGTTGATCACAATGGTGTAGTCGAATGGCATCCAATGGCAATTTATAAAAGCACATGTCCTGTGAAGATCAAATATTTTCCATATGATAAGCAAGTCTGTCACCTTCGCTTTGGACCATGGACTTTTGACAGGTAAGAAACGAATAATGTATATAAATTCGTGAAACGAATAAATACTGTCACTAATATGGGAATTGTGAGACTGTTTAGCAGTTGTTCAGCCTGTTGATTACATTTTATTTCGAGTCAGGAATAAATATGCATCATCCTAAGCTGCAGCGACACGGTCAAATATCATTAACAGGAGAGAAAACAAAAAGTTGGGATAATAGTACTTTCAATCATTATAAGAGAAACACGACATTTATAGAATACTGTCCATGAACAGAATGAACTCTAGAGATAAACTGCTAAATGATATAGAAGATGACGACTCAGAAGAAAATAAAGATTTGATGCATCCAGGCCATTGTGACCAATTTTCACGCAGCTCCCACGGTTTCTCCGGGGTTTAACCGCGGTTATCACTCGGAAACTACAGAATGGCCTGTACCAACCGGCACTGCTCAGTTCAACAGTCAGTGACTAACCCTTTTACAGAATATTCTTATTCAAGTCAAATCTGAGCATCGATATATGTGATAGATGAATGTGTTGTTTTGTCAGCATCATGATTGATATAGTTGGCTAATCACAACTACGGACACAGGTCTTCTTAAATACGGATAAATCATACTTTTATACTCATCATGTATCATCACCTAAACACTACACAACATAAATTAGTCACAATTTAATTATTACATCTTTAAAAAATACAGTTTCTTCAGAAGCACTTGTGATTAAGTCATTAATTAAAGAGGCAGTTCTTTATATAGTTTATTTCTGACTTATTTCACCTTATGCCTCTAGAACTAATGACGTCCTGGCCATGACTTTCACTTAAACAGAAACTCGATGATCATGAATAATAACAGTGAATTATTTATGCTCATCAGTTCAGTGAGTTTCTTTAACCCGATTAAGCAGTCAAAAACAAACACATAAATCAATCAATTTCCCCATACTTCTCTATTCAATTTAATCCAAAAAACGTATGATATTATTCAATAAAAACACAACCATATACCAACACGTAAATGACTAGGCTACAGGCCTACTTGATAAGATTCTAAGGTCAAACTTCAAGCACATAATTACTGACTGTAAGGTATTTTTCGAGTATTTCCATTCAACCTAGTGAAGTGTCAACTTCATATCCCATCAATAATATTAGGTAACCTAATTCATTGTAATGAAATAGTTTTCTAGTGAAATATGTTTTTGATCCAGATATATATGATTGAACAATGGTAAATTCAAAATAATGATATTCGTACATAAAGCTGTGTATTAGACATTATTATTAACTAGTTTGATTTGTCAAAATTAATTCCTGAATTTAGTCATATTCTGCCTTTAGAAACAATGCATTTTTCAGTTGAATCCAGGACGTGCGTTTCGTCCTATTTCGGGACTCGTCAGCTGAGTGTACCTGCATCTCGGAGTTGATGTTCACTCTGGGACTCGAACCCAGTACCTTTCGCTTCAAATACCATAGCGTTATCCACTTAGCTACTGAGTCTTGATAGCCACCTGCTTGTGCAATGAGGTGAAGTTATATTCCCTAGGTGTTTTTTACTTGTATCTTCTCATTGTTATTCAGGACTGCAATTGCTCAGTCTCTTGTTAGCATGTGCGCATCCTGTGCAGACTGCAAACTGATCAAATAGGACGAAACGCGCGTCCTGGATATCACTGCTAGCCACTATCCATCGTTACTTATAAAGCTTGTGACTTCGGGCAATATCGAGGCAGTCCGCACAGGAAGTACAAGAGACAGACCAATTGCAGTCCTAAATAACAAAGGGAAGATACAAGTAAACAACACCAAGTGAATACCCAAAAAAACACAATTTTCAATAGTCTCATTCTCTAATATTCTGTGTGATAAAAGCAAATAGGAACTAGCTATTTATTATGATAAATAAAGATCAATATATACAGATGTAGAAGACAGATGGCTTATTGAGATGTACCTGATGATAACCCAAATACGATCTGTAGAGTACAGGGTTATTTCTAGTTTAAAAAAAAGAAAGAAGAGAATACAGTAGTCTATCAGCCAACACTATAATAATTATGGTATTTTATGTCATTAAAAATAAAATAAAGCCTTATTGCATGTTATAGTCTATTTATAGCTTATATACGAAACAAATAGTTAGTTTTTTTTCCTATTCTATATATTATACAAATAAACAAATCTAATCTATTAACAGTCTAGGGGTTGGATCAGTAAACTAAATCAACTTTAAAAAAACTATAGGCAAATTATAAAAGATATATAAGTATTTGTTTTATTCGTGACTAAATTCAATAAATAATTGAACAATATAAATTAATATTCACTTGATGATGTTTAATTGTATCTTCTCATTGTTATTTAGGACTCTTGTAACTGATCAGTCTCTTGTTGGCATATATGCATCCTGTGCGACTTACATTCTTACGCCTGTTACTCCCAATGGAGCGAAGGCAGCCAACCAGCATTCTCCGAACCACTATGTCCTGAGCCTTCCTTTCTAGTTCTATCCAATTTTTGTTCATTTTTCCCATGTCTGTCTCCATTTCTCGGTGTAATGTATTCTTCGGTCTTCCTCTTTTCCTTTGACTTTGGGGATTCCATGTGTGGGCTTGCCTTTTGACGCAGTTGGGTGATTTCCTCCATGTGTGTCCTATCCACTTTCAGCGTTTTTTCCTGATTTCTTCCTTCACTGGAATCCGGTTTGTTCTCTCCCAAAGTAGGTTGTTACTGATAATGTCTGGCCAACGGATCCGAAGTATCTTGAGTAGACAACTGTTAATAAACCCCTGTAACTTCTGGATGATGACATTCGTATTTCTCCAGGTTTCCGCCCCATACAGTAGAACTGTCTTGTATTTTCTATTGAAAATTCTTATCTTGATGGTGGTTGACAATTGTTTTGAGTTCCAGATGTTCTTCAGTTGTAAATATGCTGCTCTTGTATTACCGATCCTGTGCAAACTGCCTTGATATTCCCTGAAGTCTTTAGCTTTATAAACAAAGATCAATTAACTTAACTGTTGAATAAACTATTTGAAAAAAAAATTAGTAACACTTTATAGTATAAAACTTGCTGATTTATAATTTCTTTAAATTTACAGTAAATTCACTTATTTTAAATTAAAAGTAATGAATATTTTATAAAATAGTTAAGATTTGTGAAATGGCTTGAATTTATCAAAAGAATATTCTATCAGAATGATATACATTGAATAGAAGTATTATATATCCTTCAAATGACTGAAATAGTAGCCATCGAGATGAAGAAACTGAAGCTGTGCGTACAAAAGAAATATCTCCAACCCCTGCCCCTCCCTTGGTCAACCACAAGGCCAATTAATCAATAGTAATCTTAGCTATTGGATGACCTAATTTGACCATGTACTTACGACATTTCGTAGTCAAATGTTATTGTCTCTCTTATTTCTATTAACAAATCTTTGTACTATTATTATTGGTTAAATATCATTATTAATCGCCCCTATACGTGATTCATTCACTTCACATTGATCCCTCCTTATTACGTCTTACTAACTTTTCACACAATTTAGTCTTCCACTTGATCGAATAGTAATTGCACTATCATATCTCTCTCACCCTATCTGACCCATATTTATTCTGACCACAGATCTTAAATTTTCACTTAATATATATACAGATACAGGTTAACATTCTGTGTCATGGTGGAGATTTGTAGCTCAGGTGGATGATTTGGATGGAGTTTTGTTCTCCATGAATCTCTATGAGTCGTATTGTGGTGTGATCTACTTAAATCCATATAAGTAGTATATGGTGTTGGTCAGACATAGAATGTATTTTGGCAGAAGACCGATGAGCAAAGAACTGAAACGAAGCGCAATCGGTAGGAAAATGCACGAACAATGGAATTAGAGAAGAAACAGTGAATATCGAGACTATTGGTTGTTAATTTGCAAATTGACTGTCCATTGTATGGTTTTCAGAATTTACTAAGATAGTCTGTAATTTTTACTCAAATACATTCGATTGTCCCCAACCAGTGTTCTGTTCACTAAAGTATCAACATCAACAATTTTATTCTATTTCGTTCGACAATCCCAAATTTTAATCGCTGAAAATTTTTCATCATATTAAAACAGTATTCTTTTCAATAATTTCTCTTCAGGTTCTACAATTATAAATTAATAATCCATATAAAATATATATCTAAGTACAAGGCAGAGTTTATCATTTAAGAAACTGTAACATATGAATCAAGGAGTGTTTGTAATATAATATAAAATCGAATCGTTTTTGTTGGAATGATTAATATGTAGTATTAACTTGAGTCAGTTTATAAGTGAAATAAAATCGTAAGATAAATGATCAGAATAAATATAGTTGACATGGGGTGGGATAGAATAATGGGATTACAAATCAGAAATTACGTAATATGTAGAATAATATGAATTAGGTTAAATAGGGGTGGATGCTGAATAAATTTCTCTAAGAGATTAGCAAGTGTGATAATAACAATAATAATAATAAGGACTGGTAAGATGTGTAGATAAAATAAGTTTAGAATATGGTAAGCAGAGATGGATAGTGGCTAGCAGTGGAATCCAGGACGCGCGTTTCGTCCTATTTGGGACTCGTCAGCTGGATGTACCTGCATCTCAGAGTGGATGTTCACTCTCGAACTCGAACCCAGTACCCTCTCTTCAAACGCCATCGCGTTATCCACTCGGCCACTGAGTCCTGATAGCCACTTGCTTGTGCAAAGTTTAGAATAGAAAAATGAACATTAATCAAATTAATGTCATCCCAAATTTACATGCTTTAAACGATTCACTCTGCCTTTAACCTGGTCATTTTTTTCGGATTATTAATTGTAGAACCTGAAGAGAATTAATCCAAAAAAATATTCTTCGTTGAAATATTAGTCTATTAATGATTATGGGGATCTTTAAACGATATCATATGAATAATGAAAAATGAGTATAGAATAGTTTAGTTTAATAATCTATATTTATTTGATTATATGATAATATATAGATGAATCATTTTCTTATTTGTAAATTTTCTATTTTAGTGCTCGAGTCAATATAACATTTTACGATGAAGGTTTCAGTATGAAAGATTATGTTGAAAGTCCTGAATGGTCAGTTTTAAATTATTGGCAAAAACACAGAACACATGCTTATCCATGTTGCCCAGAACAATATTCTGATACATTATTTTTTATCAAAATTGAACGACAAGCAGCTTATTACAATTATATATTGATTTTACCTTGTTTCTTACTCTCCTCATTAACTTTAGTTCTATTTTGGCTTCCACCTGAGACACCGGCAAAAATGGTTCTCGGTAAGTTGACTGGACTTTTGGGTAAATAAATTTATTCAAATGATACCTGATAATGTGTGCGAATAAGCATACAAATATTCCTCAAGTTAAATCTATGAATCAACAATAGGTTTGTACAAAACTTGAAGGAAATATTCACAGGAAACCTGATTGTTTGCTGTAACTTTTTATCAATCCCCTAATAATACATCGACAGAGGGATTAAAATAACCAGTACAAATAATTATCTATTAGTTGCCTAAAACCTATGTAAATAATCTATAAGGTTTCATAAAAAACGCCTTTATTACATACAGTATAAACCACTGATGATGCAGACTAGGTACGTGAAAGATTCCACATCATCCTGAGCTCCCACATCAAGTGCAACTGGATTTGTGTTATCCGTGTTGTATTTGACGATCTTGCTTTTTCCTGTATGTATGTTGAAGCCTATTGATACAGAGGCTGCTGCTACAACAGTTGTTCTCATCTCAATTTGTTCGTGTAAGCAGCCTTGTCTAACTCTGGTCCTCATATGGAATGAATATGTCAGCTGTCCTTCATGCACCACTCTGCACTTTAGTCCATCGTACGAAATCCGAATGATGTTGACAATCTTCTCACGTGCTCCATAATGTTGAGGAAGGTTCCATAATGCTCCAATACCCACGTTGGCGGATCCTCACTCATAGTCAATAAAGTTAATGTATAGTGACGAATTTCATCCAATTGATTGCTCAGCGATGATCCGTAGTGTCGCTTTTCGGTCTGTGCACGACCAATCCATACGCAATCCGTTCTCTTGATATTGAACTTTGGCATCTGCTGGATCGTTTATCTGGTTCAGTAACACTGTTGAAAACGCTTCCTCATACCGACAGTTGTGTAATGCCTCTGTAGTTCTCACATTTACTCAGATCTTTCATTGCTATTTTGATGAACTACCCTTCTTCTTCCATGTCCGTTGGTAACACTTGTTCTTCCTACCACATCTTCCTTAATAGAATGTTGAGTATCTTTGCAATTACTTCTATTGTCTGACTTCAGTGTATTAGATGGTATATTGTCATGTCCTCCTGTTTTCCCACTCTTCTTTTGTCTGATATTCATTCTGATTTCTTCGAATTTTGGTGGAATGACGTCTATAGGAATGTCTGTGTGTGTTGCTTTAATGTGTGATAGGTTCAGTGTGGCTGGTCTCTCCAAGAGTTCTTTCAGATGTTCTACCAACTTGTTCTTCTGTTCTTGAGTTACAGTGATCGTATTATGAAAAAAATGATAATAATTCTTAGCATCAAACCATAACATTTATAGATTCGCTTTTATCCTATCTCTGAAAAATTCAAGGACATTTTCCACTTACTTAAAATCTGATGTGATATTGCCTAATTGAATTTCCGTTACAGTTAATGTAACAAGTTGATTCTCGTTGTATTCTTTTAACAATATCTATTTTCTTTGTGATTTATTGTTACTTTTATTTTATTTGATCTAATACTCAATTGAGCTTTCTTACTTCTCGTGAATCATCTGTTTCACGATTGAGATATTCATGTTTATCGATCTCTAAGTAGCAATTATCATCAGGTTTTTAAAGTTTTTAATAGTGATTTAACTTCATAGTTAACTTTTCATTACGAATGTAGACATGAAAGCCAGGTTTAAAATTTCTTCCCACTACTTCCATAGACCTTAAATCTATACAATATTATGTTTGACTAGTAGTCACATTGTAATAGAACAGCAGAATTCAGTCGCTAATAAAAATTAGATAAGGATTGCTTAATGTCTAATGATCAGTCAGTGTAAATTTACTAAAGTTATCAGTATTGAAAAACTTATCTAATGTAAACAATATTGCGATCTAATTTCAATTTCGGTAGTATCTGTATTTAGTTGCTTCGTACATTTTAAAATACTTTTATCATTCACGAATATTAATTTACAACCGATTGTTAGTTCAAAATCACACGAAATCTATCAAGATTATTATTATTGGCTTTATTCAATATTGTATTTTTGGTACAATATAGAATTCTCAGCACAAAGTACTTCAACAAGTTTCCTTCTCTTACTTCTTCGTCCTTCCTGACGATAAATATTGAGTGATCGCCAGTTAGATGTTAGCAGCCCTGTCAATCGACTTCTGGATAATGTACATTCTTCTCGCTGCTTATTGCCAGCAACCACGATATCTCTGATTAGGCCTTCTGTAACCTCTACAGCGAAAGATCTTACACTTTTCAGAAACGCACCTGAATAGGTTGTGCGAATAATAGGCATAATGATGTATTAAAACAAACAAAATTATATAACTTGTTGAAATATCTAGATGACAGGAACAGGTAGCCCAGATGTTTAAACAGGCCGCGAAGATACTGATGAATAACTCCATTCTTGTTCAACAGTACTTAATTTCATAGACTGATTGGCAACGTTTTACTTTGTTAACTATGGATATGTATGTATGTTCATAAACTTACTTTAGAGAATCCAACTCAAATAAGATATCATTAGTGTAAATGGTTTTGGTATATGATGAAAAAAACTGTTTTGACATAATTGAAGGAAATAAGGTCGAAGATGACTAATCAATTTTGTATACTTTATTATGGTAGATTTTTCCGATTAGAAATCTTTCAACTATATCTTACTTCTCTCATCTATTCATCATATAATTGTTTTGTATTGAATAACAAAATTTGATAATTGAGAGATATTTTCCATTTTTGTTGTCTTTATTTTCCTTTTTTTTGTTGTTGTTCGTAATTGACTTTCTTGTTTCACTTTTGAAGACAAACACCTTTTTCCATCTCTCTCGCTCACTCGCTCGCTTTGATATGCACACATCCGAACAAACACTAATAAAACATAAATATAGCTACATAGAATGAATAATAATAATAATGAAATTATTATTATATTTATTATTATCAGTACTGCGGTTGCTGGTGTGTTTCACAGGCTTATTGAAATACGAATCATAGGTAGACTTTCGTCAAGTTTCTATTATTCTATTCTTCCCACTTCTTTTCCGGCTTTCTATATTTTATCATTAGGAAAAAAATTGAATTTGCTATAACAATGATTGTAATTATGACTTATCGATCAAATGGTTGAAAGAAAAACAAAGTTGTTATAGAACATTGTAGATTATTTGTTAAAGGAGTGATTGTGATATATGTCTGTGTTATGTAAACAAGAATCCCTTAGTTTGCATCTGCGTGAATTTGTGTGTAAACAAATAGTAGTAATTGCCTTTTTGTCAAGTTTTAGCAATTCAAACTATGTCATCCGATACTGAATGCATGTCATGAAATACCGTTCGATTATGTTGATTATTCGGAACCCATAATTCCTTATAATCATGAAAATGTTACTCAGCTTGTAATGACCGAGAACACAAGTGGGAACAATTGAAAATATTTGAATATATTGCTATAGAATCTCTTAGTAAAATCTGAGAACCATGCAGTAAATACTTTATTTTCAAGATGTCAGTCTATCGCCTCAGACTTCCCTGTTCTTTCGTTTCCATATTAGTTATTCTCTGTTCTCGTTCTCTTTTCTCCAACCCTTTTAACCTCCAGGTATTTCACTTTCGATTAATGATACCTACAACTTATATCTGTTGACAATAGTAGCCAAGTGGTTAACAGAATTAATCACGATTCATGTTAGTCACTCGCAATGCCACTTGTTGTCACGTTGGTTGATGCTTGTTTGACGAAATGGTGATTCTGTCGAATTGTAGATATACTTAGCTGAAAAATGCAAACTAGAATGAACGCTGGGTTGAGTGGTTTACATTGGTCAACTTCGCTAATCCAACAGCAGAATTTCTTTTGTTTGACCTATTTGACAACATCATGTCAGCGTTAAATTATATTTTGATCTATGGTTTAAAAAGGAGAATTTAATAAGACCTAAATATACTTAAACTGAAATCTTAAAAAACCTTCCTCGATTATTCGAGTTCCTACTAGTCATTATTATAAGCATTAATGCTGGATGTTACAAGGCCAAAGTAGAAAAATTCCTTCTTTTAAACACAACTATTTACTTTCGTGAAGCATTCACTTTTATGCGATGCAAACACGTTTTTGCATAAAATTCTTAAAAGTAAATATCTCATGTATTTTCTGTCAGTTATATTTTATATACTAATGAGGATTGTAATTCAGAACTTGCCTTTTGCCTAATTTCGTGTCACTAACTTAGCGTACCTGCGTTTGTGTAAACATTCGAATCGAAATTGAAATCTTTTAATCATCACTTCAAACGCTTCATTATTTTACACCGAACGACTGAGCTATGGTAGTTGCTATGGTACTTTTATCGGTCTAAATGGCTTGTATTGTGTAGAAATCATGACTCTCCTTTATCTTGAATCTAGTTAAGGTCTACACAAACCATCAGTACAAGAAGCTAATCCGACAACAACAAAATATGAGCCCTCCAGATCCATAAATATATCGAATCAACCAAAACCAGGTAGTAAAATAATAATAAATAAAAAGGGAATGCTCATTGTATACAAATAGTAAAGTACAAGGTTAGGTTTGTCATATCCGAGGAAAATCTTCACAAGAAAATTGCAAGTCGAACGACACGATTTTGTTTTGAGACGATAGGCAAGTACTCATCTAACACAAAAATCAGTCAAAAAAATAATCATATTCATTCATTATCAAATTATCCACACCAATTCACTGTCAAATTAACACAAACTAAATTGAGTAGTATCTGACTTAAATTAGTCAACAACTTATTGTATGAACACATCTTTACAATATCTTGAAATTAATCGTCTGTAACCAGAAGTTATATCATATTAACCAGCATACAACTAATTCACTCATCCTTAGAGTGTGATCATATCACATGGACGATTGCAAGATAATGATTTTAATTTTTTTCCTCTCACTCCAATAAATTACGTCCTTGTTCATAATATCAAGCTTCCACAATGTAACATATAAAACTATTCCATATTACAAATAATGATTATCGACTAAAATAACTTTGAGATTTTTAGGTTCATTAATAATTAACGAGTACCCACACTGTCCAAATATAACTAAAAACGTGATGGGATTGAGATATACATGATGTTTATATGAGAATGGTTAGTTTTATAAGGTTTACCGCGGATTTTTCACTTGAAGTAGATCATGTTCGTTAAAAAGCTCGTACAGTCAAGAGTATATCAGTACCTGCTTCGGTTATCTAAGGATTCAAATATATTTTTATAAACCGTTTTTATAGCGTTTCAAAAAATATGTATGCATAATTCTTCAATATTCAACGACTTTATGTAGTGAGACAATTTGTTCACAACCAGGTACATAATAGATACAACATATCATGCAATTCGATTAACAAAATATTCTCACTATTCAATATTTTTGTAATGATATGACTTGATTCAGGAGTTTACTCCAAAATAACGGTGTGAATTCTTATCAATTTATATATCAGATAGAATCTATACTAGAATTTTTGTTTCATGCAATTTTGTTGCTCATCAAATCATTTTTATTATATGATAGCATCATAAGTCGTTTAAGCACTTACCAAATTTATTCTCTATAATTACTTCAGTAAATTAGGTCCTGGATGAAAATATTTTATTCACTTTACACAAAATGGATAGAATTTACAGTTCTAATTCCAACTTGTTTGATACTAAATATGGTTACACTGTTTAGCGTATAACTATTGGATAATTTGCTTACTACTGATTAGTTTTTCCACTTAACATGAATAGAAAATGCTCCTCGATAATGGGTAACAGGCGTAAGTAAGTAATGAACAGAAAATACAAGCAATCAGTTCAGAATTTGTTGAAAAGAAAAGACACAAGCAGAATTCGTTTTAGGTTACCGGACATATATGGTTAGTCATTGATAACATTTTTTTTCCCGAAAACAACTAATAAATATAATCGATTTGACTTTTGCCTTGGGACAACTGTTACTGCTGGTGTATTATTTCATGTAGTTCTTTGAAAAAATGGTTACATTATAAACAATATAAAGATAAAAATAGATCTACTAATCATTATCATTTATCGATCAATTTTCATGCAAATGGAAGCCGGTCATAGTATTCAGTAGTGTGTCATAGTTTAACAAAAAAAACAGTTAAAATATGAATCCATTATAATGATTATTTCATAGGATAGTTATTATTATGAACTAGATATATCTACTCGATTTTGGTATATGGGGAAATTATCTCAATACACACAAGGGAAGTTGTGATTTCAGGCTAACTATACAAAATCTCACATTTAAAAGACAAAATGATACAGACAGGCGCCAATAATTCGGAAATCTTTATCTCATATATATATATATATATATATATATATATATATATATATATATATATATGATTAATATCTTTCCTGTCATAGAATATTTATTTTCTCCCCGAAAAAAAAGAAAACAAAGATTTTTCATAAATTTTATTCTTAAAACTAACAATAATAACTAAAATAAAAACACTAAAAGGAGCTCCAGTAGATGTAAACATTCAACAATAATCAAATCATTTCATATGAAACTAAATCAAAAACAACCCACCATAGTGAAACTTAGATTATGATTTGAAATTGGTTATTAAACGGTTTTGTTGAGAGAAGACATAGTTGTTTTGTTTTTAGATGTTGAATTCTGTTTTTAAATCATTATTCTTTTTAAAAAAAAAGAAAAAGAATCACATAATGTTTATTATGATGTATAGTGATTTTGATGTCAATTTTCTTTCTATTTAAATAAAAAGAGAAAGAGACTTATCCCATTTTGTACCCCCCTTGGAATAATTTCAACAATAATCGTGAAAAAAAAATTGTCACGATAAGATTTAAAGATGATGAGATGATTAAAATATTAGTAAACATAGTTAAATGTAACATTGTTGTCCGAAATATTGATGAATTTCAGTAGTATTCATTGGTTGATTGTTGTTTGTTATATACAAATGTGTACGTTAAAGTTGACTGTTGATTATGATAAAACGTGGTATTTACTTTTAAAAAGGATACTATGAACTTCGATGATTACAAACTACCGTTACATTTTTCGTGTTCTTCAAAGGTGAACTTCATTCTTAGATTTACAGAGTATTACAGTAGCTAGTATAAAAACAAATTTAAATAGACGTAGTTAAATATGAAACACTAAATTGTAAAGATTTTATCAATTTCAGCTTAAAGGGTTAATTAATACAATCGAAACATTGAGAGAAGTTATAAAAAAAACACATTTAACATTGGAAAGTGATGATCACTAGTTCAAATTGTACCATTCTAAAAAGATGTTACCAAATTACAATTATATAATAGTAAACGAAACCTTGACTTATATTAGTAGTTTGTAATTATAAAAACTGATAACTTAACTGAGCAACATATTTTACATTTTCTCTTTCTCTATCAATAACTATTAGCAAAGTATGTATGACTCGTCATTTAAATGTTGTAATTATTTACAATTTGTTGTCATATTTGCCATGGCAACAAGATAAATGTAAATGATATAAAGATAATTTAATAAGAAAGTTTATCATCAGACGATATTATGTCATTAAATTAATACAATACGCACAGTATGCACATATGCCAATCAGAGACTGACCAGTTACAGTCCTAACAAATCGATGGGAAGATTCAAACAAACAATACTGAACGAATTTAAACTTCACCCCATCGCACAAGCAAGTGGCTATCAGGACTCAGTGGCCGAGTGGATAACGAGATGACGTTTGATGTGAGGGTACTGGGTTCGAGTCTCAGAGTGAACATCAACTCTGAGATGCAGGTACATCCAGCTGACGAGTCCCAAATAGGACGAAACGCGCGTCCTGGATTCCACTGCTAGCCACTATCCATCTCTGCTTACCATGCTTGTGAATTAAGGCTATATTGAGGCAATACGCACAGTATGCACATATGCCAAGATTCAAACAAACAATACTGAATGAATTTAATGCAAATTATTGTTTCTTTTAAAAGTAAATAAACCAAATACCATCTTAGTGTTTTCACACTATTCCATCTACTATCCGTCTCTTCTACTTATCCTCCATTTATAATCTAGTTAACCTTTTATTTTTATATATAAATACTTTTAACAAGTATATTATTTATGATCACATCATCCGAAATGTGTTGCGCTATTATATATCGCACAGTTCTGATAATCTTCGTCTACTTATTACACTATCGATATTGTATATGAGATGAATCGAATCTGAAAAAGTGTTAACGAAAGTGATAATTATTCATTAATGGCTGTAATGAATTGTTTTATATTCTTCAATATATACAGAATCTCTTATTCCCTAGAAGATACAAACTGTATAATCACATAAGAATCAAGCATTAAGTGTCAAAATGAAGAGTTTAACATGGATCAGGCATATTTGTTGAAATGTGGCGATCAAAAACATTTTTTTTTAAATATTCTATTTCGTTAAACATTCATTATGATCTAAATATACTCACCACTATATTCCATTAGAGTGGTATGAATATATGCTGCTTAGTTTCATTTAAACATACAAAATTTTAAGTTACTTTAACCTTTCAATTATATTCTAGTCAATATTTCCTAAGTATATAAACAAACTTTAGTTTATGATATTTATTAGAACAACAATATGTTACGTAATGATAAATTGATTTAAAAAATTGTTCTATTTATGTCATCAATAAACTATATAACTAATATTTTCAAAATCAATATTTTTCTAATTGAAGGTATGAACATTTTTCTTGCATTCTTCCTTCTATTGCTTCTGTTGGAGAATTCCATTCCATCGGCTTCAAGTTCATTTCCATTAATAGGTAAGTATAGTGTCTGATAATATATTGAAACATTTGAAACAAAGAATAATCAATTCACTTACTCAAGCATTTTGAAGCTTAATATATTATATCATAATTCATTTCTACACGTTATCGATTTTTTAATAAATTCATTTTTATGTTTGTTTTACGTGGGGCATCGGAGTTGTATCTGGATTGAATCAAACTACTTCTTGTGTTTAATACTAAATGTCTATCATCCACGTACTGACTTGTGATATCATATCATTCAAGTAATTGTTTTAGGTCAAAACCACTGTCCATCTACGTCTTCCAAAATCTGTTTATGAAAACGGCAGCTGTTTGCAAGTTCCAGTAGAAACCACAGACACAATTGTCACTTAGTTTAACCTCATAAGCAGGTAATAACAGTTTTAAATGCCTCAGATTGAGCTACGTACTGTAAATTCATACGACTTACAAACGTTTCCTTAATTTTTTTTTCAATCAGTTAGACTGACTTCAATTACAAACATGGCTATAGTTAATATGTAGGTTTTTTTTATCAACCATTCGACCAAAGAGTTACTTTTCTAATTCCTAAAAAATTCTGTTATTGAATAAAACACAATCGTCAAGTAAAGACCATTAAAAACAAAGCCAAATTCAATACGAAAGAGATCAGGTTGTATTAAATACCTCGAAAAAAACTTTAGAAGCAACTTATTTTACTGTCAATAATATAATAATACATTAAACTTACTTACGTCTGTCACCCCTCATGGAGGATGTAAGTAAGTAAGGTAAGCGTATTATTATTTAGTTGACAGTAAAGTTGTTTCTAAAGTCCGATATATTTACCACCACAATATATTTCAATATGTCGTCCTAAATATACTATTTTGTTAAGAACAATTTTGTAAACAAAACGATTATTAATTTGGTAGAAATAATCTGAAAATCAATTTCATCTATAAAATATTCACCGGTGAACAATTTAGATTTGAACTAACACTTAGAAACAATATATCCCATTCCTTGGCCAATGACTAATAACATTTCAAATTATATTCATCATAACCAGGATATATTGTAAACAAAGATGGATAGTGTCTAGCAGTGGAATCCAGGATGGGCGTTTCGTCCTAATTGGAACTCGTCAGCCGGATGTACCTGCATCTCAGAGTTGATGTTCACTTCGGGACTCAAACCCATTACCTTTCACCTCAAACACCATCGCATTATTCATTCAGCTACTGATTCCAAATAGCCAATCGCTTGTGCAATAGTGTGAAGTTTAAGTTCACTTAGTATTGTTTATTTGAACCTTCCCATTGATGTTCAGGTCTGCAACTGGTCAGTCTCTAATTGGCATATGTGCATGCTGTGCGTATTGCCTCGATATAGCCTTAATTCACAAGCATTGTCAGCAAAGATGGATAGTGTCAAGCAGTGGAATGCAGTATAGTTCTTGATTTTTATATTAGTAACCTAATATATCAGTAGAATAAACATTTAATTCATTCTACTTTATACTGATGCCAAATATTGATTAAACATTTACTGTTATTTACTGTCACATAATATTATTCACTCAGTATTGTTATACGTCAACTTTGACAGTTTACGATTTACACAACTGATAATAAAACAATTTACGCTTATAGATCAATTAGCCTAAAGCATTACAATCTAAATATTATCAGAATTTATTTATTATTATTCCCATATTTAGCTATTCTTAATATGATTTCCAAAATAAATAAATAAATATATATGCAAATATAAATAATTCTGAGAACAAAATCACCACTTCTAGAAGTTTATTGCTCATTATAAACTTGACAATATGATCATATAGATAAATATATAGATGTACACAATACAGGCATACAAGTAACCATCTCATTCTTTTCCTTAATGTATACATTCTTATTAAGGTTAACATATGAAAAAAATCTTCACTTTTCAAGCATTATTGATGAAGTTTGTATGTTCTGAAAAAAAAAGAAAATTTAATAAAACGAGAACTTATTTACTTCAAATTACTGAAATGAATTGAATCAATGAACTGATAGTAAAAAAAAGGTTCAGAGATTTATAGTAACCAGAATATATATAAAACCACAAGAGAATCAAATTATATTGAACAGTGAACTAATAAATGTTCTCTTTTTTTTCTTCTTATTCTATAGTAATTTATTTAGTTACTGAATGAAATGAGGTCATAGTTATTTTAAGGAAAAAAATGTGTAAATATGATTTATTAGCATAATATAGATCATCCCTCTGTAGATTTTGATTAAATAACTTCTTTTTTTTCTTTTTTTATAAAGTTAAGCTGATTAAAATAAGGGGATGTACATTGTTTATCACGTAATCTTTCAATAGAATGAAAGAATAAATACTAAAAAGTGGGGGGGGAAGAATATGAATGAGTTCATTAAATGATCATCATCCTTCATTTAAACTTGTTCATCAAAGATAAATAATTATATGAGAAAATTTTGTATCTTCTTTTTAAAATAATGCTAATTTCAAAAAGAAAGAAAATGATTACTTATCTTAATTTTATGCACAAATAACATAGTTAAATACAATATTTAAAAAGTTATTTTATATAAAATTATATTTAACGACTTTTATTGTTAAATTTTAATATATTTAAAGTATAATGTATAGTTCATAGTTGAATTCATGAGTGAATTGAAGCTAGACCATCATGGAAGACCCGGAAACACTGACAGCTGTTTCGTCTTAGTATGAGACTCCCCAGTAGTGTACATCCACGGTCCCACTTCGCAACATTCGAACCCAGGACCTACCATTCTAGCACAGAGCACTTAACCAATAGACCATTGAGTCGGCATTCCATGATGGCAATGTCTTACCTCAACCAATCTACGAAATAGCGCGACCAACTTCCATTGTACTGAGGTAGATACCTGTCTCTACCCGACATTTCGTGGATTGGTTGAAATTGGACATTAACACCGTTGGATACCGGCCGGCTCAGTGGCCTAGTGGTTAAGTGATCGCGCGCGAAACTGTTAGGTCCTGGGTTCGAATCTCTCGAGGCGGGATCGTGAATGCACACTGCTGAGTAGTCCCACAATAGGACGAAACGGCCATCCAGTTCTTCCAGGTTTTGTATGGTGATCTAGCTTCAATTGACTCATTATCTTAACTATAAAATTATACAAATTAATAGTTTTTTGCTTAGTTTGCACTATTAGTTGTAAGACAAAAACAATTTCTAGTAAACATTCAAAGAAATTCATTGTTTATACATGCCAAAAATAAATTGATGATACTTCAATGTTAACAAAAGAAATTTAACATTAAACATTAGATAGATCTTTTAACAACAATCCACATATTAACAGTTGGTAAAAAAATGAAACAATGAACAGTTTATGTAAAATGAAGTTTTGATGTTTCATGTTCATAATGATAATAACAATTTATGTCTAACTAAGCTGAAGAATTTACAGCATAAACTAAAAGTCATTTAAGTTATCTGAACCTACTCGTAAATATCATAAAACAGTAATTGACTGTCATTCATCTTGATGCACTTAATTCTGTCAACTACTTTCACTTTTATGGTATATCTTTTGGTAGCATCATATATATATCATCCTTAAATTCCAATGGAAGAGCTTCTCATTTCCTCGAAAAGAAAGCAAAAATGTAAAAAAAAAATAATGCGATCATTCCGCTCTCATTTTACAGTAATTAATTTTGCCATGGGTTGTAAGCATTTTATAAAATGGGTGTGTTTATGTGTAGTCAATTTACAAAATAATCTATTTGAAATTTATCTAAGATAGAAAGTTTTATTACAACACTGAAACAGTTGCAAACTAAGTTGTCCAGAAGTTTGAACTGATCAACAATTCATCCATTCCATATTGCAACAAACATAGCAGTAATATCTCTCACTATGTATAATAATGTAAGGAAGGTATGAATACGTAATGAAACATTAAACACCTGAGGATATAATTATAGTTAAAAACATAGGAAAAAGGAATTCATACATAATTTCGACAATTGTTCTGTTTTCTCCCTATAATGATTGTTTGATAATATAAGTTTGTTTAAGTTGAATGAAAACAAAGATTGAAAACTAACAAGAGTAACATTATCGAAGCAATATGAATTATGGATAGCGACGAAAATGAAATATTTATTCTACATATTATTCTCATTGAAAAATTAGTCTGGCAAACAAAAGAGTTTTACTTATTCATATGATATAAATTATATATTGTTTGCATGTTAAACAGGAAACAGCAAATTATAAAAAGATCTAAGTAAAGATACATAGGGATATTCGTAGAAGAACTACTTAGAGAATAACTGATTCATGAAATATATATATACACTGTTCGATAATTCGTGTTTCTGTTCATCGAACATTGCACCAGGCATTTATTCATTTCTATTAATAGTCATAGCAGTGCCTCATTTCAATATTCTTTTTAAAATAACCTTTAATCTTTTTATTCAGGGAATTATTATTGTATCAACATGACATTGGTTACACTTTCAACATTTTTGTGCCTTATTGTGGTCAATCTACATTTTCGTGGTGATCGACGAACTGAAGTTCCATTCTGGTTAAGAAAGGTAAGTTCTTAGTTGTTGTTAGTTTTTTTTCATGATCTTTATCATAAGAAAAATTATCAGATGGATATTGATGATTGTGTAACAACAATCAGAAAACTGAAATAACTGACGAATTTTGAAACGATAAGCTTCAGATCAATCATAAATGCATGTTTTATCAATCAGAAATTTCATCATTGACTAAACATTATTTGATAAGAATTGTACTACTTCTTTAAAAAATTAATATATTAATAAAATATCGTTTTTCGAGAGTTAAAATTCATCATTATGCTGAAAATAACGGCGAAAAACATTTTCTTCCAGGAGTTAGCTATTCAGCCTGTGCGAATGAATAATTTATGGAAAAAAAAGAAATAACATTACAATGTTTGAACGTAGTTTACAAATCTAATCAATCCGATAAGGTTTTGTACAGGTTTCTCTGACTATAAGTCAAAAATTATAATAAAATAAATTCGTTTTTATGTAATTAAATTTGTCAGTCTTTTAGAACCGTTATAAAAACACAGTCAGATATTTGAGAGTCTTTAAGGTGTTCTTTGTTAGGGTTTAATATTTATTTATTGAAGAAGCAGGTCATACTAAATCACTAAACGTCATAGATTCAATTTTTCTACCAATTAGGATATCATTAACATTTTATTTTATGACATTCTATAATTTATTTTGTTTACTGAAATAGTTGTTAGTAGTACGTCGTGATAACTGTAAAATTGATAAAATCTGCTTCAAACATTATAGCCTTCATTTTTTGATAATCCTATCAATTTAGTTTTCGTTTCTATGTTACTAAGGGAGAATTTCTATTTATTTATCATTCTCATTCAGATTAATTTTCATATTTTCTTACTGATTATCAGTTAAATCGTCATTGCACACACAAACACACAGAGACTTTCCATCCTCATTCAGATTAGTTTAATGGCGTTTTCTATTTAAAAATTATATTCAACATTCATTGAAATGATTCTAGTTTGAAATTAACTACGTTTCGTATATGTGTTAAGTCATTTAATATAAACATTAATTTTTCTATTCCATTTTGTATTTGATTTTTGTAATTGTTTTAAAGACAAATTTAATTAAATTCAATTTTTTCTCAATGAAAGGATAAAAATAATTTTTATAGTAGTAATCATAATAATTATGTTGGGAATTAAACTTCATGTAGTTACTCATCAATAAATAAACAAAAAAACTAACTAACTAACATACATATACTCAATCACTCACTCACTCACTCACTTAGTTACTCATTTATTCACCGATACAGATACACATTCACAATGAATAATATAAATAGGAAATTAGAAATAAATATTTAAATTATTATAAATGTACACACTTTCAATAAATAAGTATATATATATATATATATATATAATATCAGAAGGGGTGTTTGTAGATATTATGCTAAGAACAATATAAATGGAGGCAAGGAAAAATTCATTATAAAGAAAACATTGCACTGATTTTCTACCATAAATTAAATCACAATTTAAAAATAATAAAAAAAAATTTGGTTTAAACAAACAACAATATCATTAAATAGTAAATAATAAAAAAATATGGAAATTAACCCAGGAAATTTTAGAAAAAAATTTTTTTGAACAAATTTCATACGTATTTTATGCTTTAAATAAAATATGATAATCTTACATTTAATGTTACGCTAGATGATAAGAATGAATTGAAGTTTTAGATAAAAAAAAATCAACAAATGGCATCTAGATGGTGATGGTATCATATTAATTAAGCCAAAATTTTAACAATAAGACGACTAATATCTGGAACTGAGAAACACTATGATTCACAGGACATAAATAAGAAGAAAGAAACTTATGTGAATTAAGAATTAACCTACCCTGTAAAGCACATCGACCACTTAAACATATACAGTTATATCAGAAGGGGGTTTTATGGGAGTTTTAGTAACTTTATATGGTTGAAATCATGTGTCGATTGAAGCTAGACCATCATGAAATACCTGGAAGCACTGGACGGACGTTTCGTTTTATTGTGGGATTCCTCGTCAGCGTGTATCCACTATCCCGCCTCGTGAGATTCGAATTCAGGACCTATCAGTCCCGCATGCGATCAATCAATCACTAAACCACTGAGACGGCGAGATTGTGGATGCGCACTGATGAGGAGTCCCACGATAGGACGAGACGGCCGTCCAGTGCTTCCAGGTTTTGCATGGTGATCTAGCTTCAATTGACTCATGATTTCAACCATATAAAATATGCAGTTATATATTTATTTTACCAACATTTAATGATTAGCTAACAAAAATAGTACTTAAATGAATTACACAGAATTACTACTACAACCAATGTTGAATGTTGTACAGAGTTAAGTTCTCTCTAAATTTATTCAAACAACATTATCCTTGATAAACATTACACTGAAGTAATACTTATGTTATACTATCTGAAATATTCTACTAAAAATAAAGTGATTATTACACTGAGTAATTATAAAACTGACATAAAAAGAGTGTAAATCTGTACACAAATCAAACTAAGTTAAAACATAATCTGGTGTTTTTATCCCATAACAATTGATTGATCACTGGATGGTAATCAATGTCATACGTGTCAAGTCCGTCTTAGTGCTGATCGAATGCTATTGATCAAGTTGCAATGTGGTCACTAGTCTAGGTGGCTCGACACTGCGTGCAGTATTTTGGGATAAGATGGTGGTTGGAGGTGGTCAACAGGAAATCCTGGCCTCGTTTTTCATACTACTTGGCACTTGTCAGCAAGGTGTACCTGTAATATTGAGAGAACTGACGGATTCCATTCCGTGTCACCCGACTTCACAGTCACAGATGTTACCGATATAACCAATGAAAATTTGTAGGACTGACTATGTTCTATCAAGATCTAGTAATCATTTCCCGGTCTAATTCTTTGAGTACATTTTAGGTCTTAAAAATAAACTTTTATAGTATTTATAAATTCTTAAGGTCAGTCAGTTAAATATGCTCTTAGTAAGTTGTATCATTTTGTATTATTTTATCATTTAATTGTATAAATTCCAGGAATTTCGTTAATAATTCTTTTTTTCCATCCATCATAACAAAAACTGCAGTTGATCCATCTTTATTGGTATATAGGCATCGTGAACCGATTAACTTACTATTATACAAAGAGCTAAAGACAACCATTGTAGATAAGGGTTATGGATGCATCTTTTGAGAAAATATTTTTTTTTTTAATTACCAGGTGAATGATTATTTAACGCTAAATTATAATGTAGGCTTTCTGCATTATTTCTTCCAAAAATGAATTCATAACATTAAAAGAAAGAGAAACAATAGCAAATAAATAATTGGATATGCTTAAATTTATTCTAATAATGCTAAATTTAACCAATAAGTCAATCAACCATTAAAATTGACCAAATTAGTTTATCTCATTTTAATCTCTTATGTTATCACTGTTATTCTCATTATCATCACATGTTTTCATGTTTGTATATATATACAAGCATTAATTCAATTGCATTCATTTATTGACATAAAATCATCTAATTATTCAGATTATCTTTTGTTATTATATTTTGTACATCTAAAAACAGGAGATTAATTACATATTTTGTGGATTATTATACATATACATTCATTTATATCCATTTCCTTTCATGATATAGTCAATAGAAATAGAGAAAACAAATGAACTTAATAATTAGCACAGTAACTAATACAGCCTGTTTTCAATTGAAATGATGTTGTAAGAATAGTGAATCATACAAAAGACATGATACTATATAGTAAAACTCTGTTTTATGCTTAATTTATTTGAAAACTAACAATCATAGTGAATATTTCTTGTTCCTAGATTTTATGATGAAGAAAAGCTTTTGTTATCGTTCTTGAAAATATTCTCATTCCCTTTTCCATGTGAAAATGAGTTTCCTAATTGTTCCACGAGCCTTAAAACAATGGTTGTGTTGCCCCCCTGTACTTGAATGATTGTTCTATTAGATTTTACAGTGTTTATTTGTATTTGTATTGGTTATCTTCCATTCAAGTTTGATCAGGTTGTTGATTGGTCTTTTAGGTCAGGTTTGATTTTATTAACCCGTTTGATGGTTGACTCTCATTGACTCTTAGAATTTCCTCGAACCGGAATTTTAAAATAAATGTCATCAATGGTCAACATGGATCAACATACGTAATAATGTATCATGTAAATTCACTAGCAATTTGTGTTCATGTTGCATATGTGTGAAGTGTATCCAATATGATCAGTGTAGTTTATATCGCAACTGCTGCAAAATATTTTGCAGACAGTGTTGGATTTGCCTTCGACTGCCATTGTGTTTTTTTTGGTTTGCATAAAATGAAGTGAAGTGACTGTGTTGGTTTATGAGTGACATTAATTCCAAAGTTTTGAAAAGAACAAGAACAAAGATTCATGTTATCGCCAACTACATTTATAAATTTACGTGTACCTGCCAAAGCAGCTACATTGACCGAACAAAAAGGAGGGCATATCTTAGATTTTTTGAGCATGTTCCAAAACGCATTAGAACAAGAAAAACAACGACTCTAAACAGTGCAATTATCAAACATCTTTTGGATACAGGACATCAAGTCGATGCCTTGCAGTCTTTCAAAGTGATTAGTAAACAGTCAAACTTCAGTCTTCTGAAGCTTGTTGATGCCGTTGCTACTAGGTGTCACAAAACCTGATTCATGTATTCAAACGGAGATGGTTGTTAATCTTTCCTTACCTTGGTGACAAATATCCCTTCGTTGCATCTAACTTTCTTTAACTCTCTTGTATTTATTATATTATTCAGTTTTTATTTCAACTGTCTTTCAGTTTAGTTATCTTATATTATTAACTGAGCTTTACTCATTTTATTCCTATCAGCGTTTACTCATTATGTAATCACTTGAACTGTTGTCACAACCAATGTTGTAGAATTTTCTTTTACATAAGGTATACGTTTACAATATAGAGTCTATTAAATTTATTTACACCCTTGCTATACTATTATGTCATCAACGAAGCTTCCAACTAAACTATTTCATGTAAGCAATTTAAACCCATCTTGTAATTATGACTTTTAAGCAGCTGACGAGAACCAACGAAATAAGATTAATTCATGCTATTCTGCTAGAATCTTTGTTCTTGCTCTTTTCAAAATGATAAAGGGAACTATGTGTATGAAAAATCCCAACGTTCTTATATCCTGAAAGTGATTTCTGAAATTTTTTATAGGGCTGTACAATCCGTTTCCTAATTACTAAGGTTGATTCTGAAGTTGTGGGTTGCTTCTTCATACACTTTTGGATAAGAATTCTGCGGGTGGCCATTTTCACAAGGAACACACTTGTCCATTTAATTTTTTACAAAGCGAGAGTCCTTCAGTGGGTTCTAACTCTTGTGAATGGTATCTTTTTTAAAATTACCTTTGTGTGCTATTGGGTTGTTCTTGTTCTAATTTGGTAATTGATCAGTATGGCATAACTTTCTACAAACTTGTGGTTTCAGTGTTCCCGTGTTTAGAATCTATATTAAACATAATTCATGATCAACAATCACAAACATAAGTAGATGGTTGTTGTTTATTGAAACTGAACCTTCAGTGAAAATCACGTCCTTATATGCATCACTGATAAACTAAGTAAAAAGAAAATTGCTCTAAAATTTTAGACATCAAGGTATTATTGTACATGGAAAAAAGATGGTCATCCATACACCTCATAAGCACATTACCATTTTCCTATCAACTCTATTTTCTAACAACACTTTCAAAATTAATACAAGGATTTAGCTGTCTCAATTCTGCAAACAAAAAAGATATTCAGAATAGGTGTATGATTAGAATGCATAGTGTTATACACTTCCTTACATATTTATGAATAGTTCCTAAGTTCATCTTCCTCCTTTAAACTGGTTACATGTACGTTTTAACTTATTTTAATACTATAAACATTTAGCTAAGAACAATTATACCCTATTTTATGCTTCCACATATTATCTTTGATATTTAAATAGATATTTTCTATGTAATATCATTGCACAGTTGGAAGGATATTGTAACCTTAGATAGCCTGTAATATACATGTATATTTAACAAATCACTTCTAATTCTAATATGTTCATATCTTTAACACTCATCCAAAATTTCGCCATTCATAAGAGAAATAATGATTTCGGATTTTTCACACTAAAACTGAATAGTTTATATATCGAACAAATAATGTACTGATTAAAGATGTATAGTGGCTAGCAGTGGAATCCAAGACTCGTCAGCTGAATGTACCTGCATCTCAGAGATGATGTTCACACTGGGACTCGAACCCAGTAACTTTCGCTTCAAACACCATCTCGTTATCCACTCGGCCACTGAGTCCTAATAGCCAATTAGAGACTGACCAGTTGCAGTCCTAAACATCAATGGGAAGATTCAAGCAAACAATACTAAGTGAATTCAATGTACTGATTACTTTTACTTACTTTTATTTATTAATCAGGCTCTATTTAACATTTATTATCTTGGTTAGTAGTATATATTTCTTTGCTATAAAAAATTAAGAGTGAAATATTTATTATTTCCTTTATGTGCTAATCATCTTTATTGTATATAAATTTCCTGTTTTACTTATTCTTGGGTGATTCACTGATTTATGTATACGGTATTGAAAAAAGGTAAGAAAAGCCGAATGGGAATATATACCCATTTTATAAGTATTCTGTTGCCAGGATATCACTGGCTTTACAATAAATAAAACAGTGTAATATTATTATTTTTAAAAAAAAAAACATATACATAGGATGAGTTTCAAATGTGTTAATCACCGATAACCATTTCTTTTTTTTGATAAGAGGAGTTATTTGGTTAATAAAGACAGAACTAAAAACGTTTACAACAATAAGTTATGTTCTCTTTAATAAGCGAAACAGCTTAAGAGTATACGATTTTAATGCTATCTTTACTACTTTGTGTAATAAATACAATAAAACACATCCGTTATTCACTATGCTTCGATATTCTTGTCCATTCCTTTGGTAATATCCTTTATATTATAATTGATATTATCACTTTTAAGTATGTTTGACTTCTTGTCACATTATGCATAAAGGCTTTTTTTTAAGTTTACAGGTAACATTAAAATATTAATATAATTGACATGCTTTTCATTAAGAATAATTCTTTTTTATTCATAATATTCACTGACACCTTCGTGTAGCTTTTCTATCTAATTTAGTATATTCTATATCATAAACCCGTTTTCTTATACCTTTGTTAAATAAATAGTGAAAAATATTTGCACCGACTTATATTACTTAATCGACAGAGATTTCCGGCTCAGATGGATGTTTCGTTTTAGACATCGTTATAGGAGTTTACTTCATTTAGAAATGACAGTTTTAATTACATAGTATCCCTTGAATCAGTTTTTTTTCTGGTGGCCTTGTTTGTTGTTGGTTGTGTTCCTACGCGAAAAATCTTCAAATAAATCATTGAATTTAGAGAAATTAACAACAAATAAATCAGTAGACTGTATTGTTTTATAAATACATTGCATAAAAATTACGGTTTGTGTAGGTTCTAGAGTCGATAGAATGTTATGAATCTACTTAATACCTCAATGTATACTGTCTCAACAATACAAAAAGTTCATCCAGTGAATTAATTGTATCACGTTTAAGAAATAGTTCAAGCAAAAAATAATAAAACTTCATTTATGAAATCTGGTTCCATATTCAATATCATGTTGTCATTTGACTGAACATCATTTGTATAAAAGAATACATCATCCTGTTTAATTGATATTTTATACTAGAAACTTCGTAGTATTAAACAGCAACAAATATCTTTTACATAGTTGAAATCATAAGTCAGTTGAAGCTAGACCATCATGGAAAACCCGGAAGTACTGGACGGCCGTTTCGTCCTATTGTGGGACCCCTCAGCAGTGCGCATCCACGATACCGACTCGCTAGATTCGAACCCAGGTCCTACCAGTCTCGCGCCACAGCACTTAACCGATAGACCACTAAGCCGGCATCCAATGGTGTTAATGTCTAACTTCAACCAATCCACGATGTTTGATCAACCGTTCACCAATTGTCTTCAGTGAGTTGATATCTCAACAACAGATGTGGTTGAACTCCACTGGTCACTGCTTCCCACTAGAACTCCAGGATTTCATTATTTCTCATAATTGAAGGATGAGTCCGTTGAAGCTAGACCACTATGGAAATATCATTTACCAGAACAGTCAAAAGCATAATTTTGTATTTATAATTCGATGATAAGTAAAACGAAAAGATAAAATGTGTATTAAATGGAAAAATAATGTGGTGTAGAATCTAGTAAAAATGGATTGTAAATTTCCGAGTTCATGTGATAATTATGACACCTTATAAACTAATTTAAATCAATCTAACAACTTGTTAGACATTTTGTGTAAAATGACAAAACATGGAAATTACGGCATGCATAAGATGAGATTTTCTAAAATAATTAAAGTATACTACTATGAATGACCGTAAAAACACTGCCATTTTTTCCAATTGCGTGAATAAGTAGCAGTTTACGACAACATTCATAAAACAGCAACTTCATTTTTAGCATTAATCTTTTAAACTTTCTTTATTTCCAACATATATACATCACTGAAGAATGATTAATTATTATGTTAATATCTTTACGAACTATTTTTTCCCATGAACTTTATGGAAGTGAAATTTATATAAGAGTGAAATTTTTAGGAAGCAGTGATTATTTTTCTTTATAACAGTAAGGTTATTCTATTATGAATGTCACTTTTTACTCACTTTAAGTAACAAAAAGGTAATAAATGAATAATAATTTATTCAAGATTGAAGAAGGCAATGAAAGATGGTTGCACAGTATCATGAATTGACCGAAGTTAAAAATGTAGACTGTTTGACATCAACTTGGTTGTGTGAAAGCTATTACTTCCCGACAGAACTGAAGGTCTTGAACTCTATTCCCGGTCAACTCTTTGGTATACACTGCTTATGGTTTCGTTGTTAGGACTAAACGACTTCCCAGTACTTACAGATTCTCGATGCATATCTAATGCTTGTGAACTACAAAATTGGTACATTGACACTTTAATCTTCCTATGTTGTGTGCTAAATTATAAAACATCAAATAAATCCATACATATAGACAAAACTTAATGAAATGCAAGTTAGACGAATTCCTATCAATATACATTGGAATAATATTCTTTCTGTTTTTTTATCAAAATTATTTTTTCAGTTGGCATTACATCATGGGTCCAGAATTCTTTTGGTAAATGTTGGTCCGCCTGGTGGTCCACCACCTCCGACCTCAGCTTCTTCCAATAAAACAACTGAAAAACCGATCACAAATATGAATTCTGTTCATAATTTTATGAAGTCACCAGATAATTTTCTGTGTGATGATTCATTTAATCCTAAAATGTTTTCAGTACCAAGAAGTGATTTTACTGAAAACTTCAGCGGTAAGATTTCAATTATTTGGTGAATTTTACATGTTTGATTATGACGATGGTCCAATGTTCACTCTGATTTATATATATATATATATATATATATATATATATATAATCTAGAAATAATAACCTGTTGTCGAAGATATTATGGTACGGAAAGTGAAAATAACAAAATATATCATGGTGATAATACAGTCGTTTATATGTATAAAATGTCACTTTTTAAAGAAATTTGTTTTTTATGTGTTTAAGAGTTGGTTTCAATTATCAGTTACACTGTCCCATTTCTCCTACCTCACCAGGTAAGCATTTCCGTTTGCGCTTTAATTCATTTCAACCGATTCAATTGCTGGGAATGATTTAGTCCGTCGTTGATGACATCAGTTTGTCAAGCGCAATATTAAGAGAAACTGAATTTGAAATTATGAACAGATAAATTTTGTCAGATTAGTGTAAAGATTTCGGTGATTACTAGCAGATCTGAAGACATTTATTTGGAAACCGTGTGTACTTCTCGAATCATGCTGATTCTCAAAAATAAACAAAACAACCATTCAGTGCTAAACGCTTATAATTGTTTTTTTAGTTTGATATCAACTTGTGATGAAAATTAGAGAATAGCTAACAACTAGAAATTTCTTAAAATTGCTGAAGAGTGAATACACATCTTTTATTAGAAAATTGATAAACTTTAAGAATGATGAAATTTGTTTTGTCCATGACAATAACAGATGTGTACAAGTTTGTCTGGATATCCAGACATCTATAAATCTAGTATTCACAGTATTTTTGCTAATGTTTTAGATCAAAATGCATACAATTGGCGATTACAGTAATTTTTTTAACTTCAGAACAGTTCTTTTTTACTATGTAGCATTTTATTATTTCGTATTAACTTCGATAGCACTTTTGTGTTCTTATCAAATTATTTAGATAATGCAAAAGTGAATCGTTTCGGAAAACCACATGGAAATAAATTCTGTTCACCGGAATTTTGTTATGCTAATTCTCGTCAGGCACATATGAGGTCACAATTTTCAACAGGATCGCCAAATCATAAATTTCCTGGTTGCTACTACCCAGATAACGAGGCTGAAATGAAACACTTTTCTCAATTTAGTAGGAGGCAAACACAAGAAACTGAACAGGCCACACCATGTTCATTTTGTCCAGCTTGTGCTGGACTTGCAGCGGCTGCTGTGGCATCTGGTCGTGGATCAAATGATATTGACCCAAGTTATCATGCCGAAAAACAGTATTCAATGCAAACAACACCTAAAAATCATTTCCCTCATGATCCAACTGATGAATTAGCAACTGTTTGGGCAGCCGCTATTAATGATTCCAATATTTGTAACAAACGTTTATCATCTCGTGCTTTAATCGAAAATAATAAACAAAGTGAAGATGAGGAAGAGACGACAGATGATGAAGACCATGAACCACACTTAATGCGTAACAAAAATATTGGTCCTGATCTAGAGCATTTTCTTTTACAATGTATTAAACCTGGAGCATCTAAAAAAGCTTTATCGGCTGCTAATGCTAAATGGAACAGCCCGTTACAGAATACTCAATTAACATCTCCATTATATCCATTCACATCACCTATATGTCAAGATGATTCTGAGGATGATGAACGTAGCAAAATGAATTTACCGAGATGGAGTTCAGCCGGACATAGTATCGGTAATCGTAGTCATCGTGGTTTAAATCATAATTCGGATAAAGAAATTAATCATGATCCAGATAATAATAATTTATGGCGTGCTAATTCAAGTAGTTTTATTAGTCGTAAATTTAAAAAATCAGCCAATAACTCTGATCAACGTCTTTTAAAACGTGTGCACATGGTTACACGTGATGTTTCTGAAATAGTTAAAGGTATACGTTTTATGCAAAAACAAAATGAGAAAAAGGAAAAAAATAACAAAATTATTTCTGAATGGAGAGCAGTCGGTATGGTGTTAGATCGTCTATTCTTTATTATCTACCTCTGTGCTTTAGGGATTTCCATATTACTTTATTTTCCAAGATCTGGAGAAGATTCAGAAGAAACTATCTAACACGGTTAAGGAATAAGGAGGAAAGCATTTGTTGAAAATTTTTATCGTTTTCAAGAACAGTTTCTCCACCTCACTGTTCCCATCATTATTCTATTCAGTAAGGATAAGATTTTTCATAACTACCAAGCAGTTTGAGTACGAAATCTGTATATATGTTTGTTCTGCTGTTTAATAATATTTATATTTACTTTCCGTCTATAATTTTAGTTACTTTTATGATTAGTAGTAGTTAAATTAATTATACATAAAACCTTCTTTTTTAAATTTATTACGAGAAAGAATATTATTTATAAACTAGTAATGCATGTTAAATTTTCATGTAATCAGTACAAAACCAGATAAATGATGTTCAAGTATTTCAAATTTCTAGATACATTCAGCTGTACAAATGTTTCGTGATCTTCCTGTCAATATTGATCTACAAACACTGCCATCTAACGCTCAAAGTAAACATATATTCAGATAACCCGAAAGTGATTTGTTTTGTAAAACAATATAGTAAAGAAACTTCTATCCACCAGATCATTGCTCCAATTATTCTTGTCAGGCAATTATCAGATCATAAACTACCTAGTTTGTATAATCCGGATGATAAACTGTCAAAAATTTCATACACTTAGATAGGTAAAATAATGGTAGTTACATATTTTGTTAATTTGGCCACTACAACTGCCAATCTATTATTTATTTGTAACCTAAATCTAACCAAAATAGGCCATTTTAAAACGATTTGTTAAAAGTACATTGCAGTGTTGTTTCATATTACATCACAACTAGATCATGTAATACAATGCGTTTACGAAAAGAATACTTCAAAAAAAATGTTTTTATTTCGATTACGATCTTCCTTTCTATAATTTTACTTACGTTTCTTAGACTATAATTTATTGTATCATAATTGTTCTATTGCTTAAAATGATTTTCTGGTTGTGTTTGTCAGTGTGAAAAGAAAGTGAGGAAAGAAAACCTTAAAAGATAAATGTATTTAGATTAAACTCATCTTATATATATATATATATATATATATATATATATATATATGCACAAATATCTACGTACGTTGTATTCATAGTTATCTTTCCATATACTAATTTATGTTTACACTTATTAAAGAAGTCTTTCTTCATATGAGTACCCAAAACGTAAGGTTTAATTGGAAGTCTCTCTAGAATATTGGAAGTCAATAATATTATATCGGTATTAATCCCTAATTCTTCATAAAGTGCTGGACAAAAGAGATATATAAACGTAAGGTTCACCACGCTAGAAGGACAACCGGATTAGTATGAAACCCTTTATACTTTTTGTTGAACTTACTGCTTACTACTATATTTCAGAAATCAGTAGTATAAATGTCTTACCACAAACTTTCTCACAAATAAAATTTACCCGTCAACACTATCTTGTACTTCTCATTAAGAAACTAATATGTTCACAGTTTATTGTATGTTAAATATATGAATTTTATAACAAACCTTAATGTAAAGGTGCATCTTTTGTAACTGTGAATGATTTCGTAATTCAAAAGCCTTGTACTTAAAATAAACAAACATTACGTAACTGTAAATAATAAATATCTTGTTGACCTTATAAATTATAAACATTTATTTAGCTAATTTTAATTGAGTCTTAAAGTAATAATAAAGACTGATTGATTATTATTGAAAATCACCATAACAATTGCTTTTTATTATTGATAGAATTCAATGGTAAATAACTAGAGTTGTTTAAATTATTTTACATATATAGAAATGGGTCTATCCAAGTATAATTGTTGACTATCATTGTCAGAGCATACAATTGTATTTTATTTAGGTATCTAAAAATTGGGCTAGACAGTGATTTAACAGTAAGGTTACTATAAAATTACTAGAAATCCCTGCTTTTGTTTTCTTTGAGGATCAATGGAACAGCATTACAAATACATAGATTTATAAAAAAAAGCACATAAGTCATTCTCCTGATGATAGTTCATTATGCATAGTGCTTAGAATCATATTTATTTATTTATTTATTTATTTGTGTAAACACATAAATATTGGTACAAAGGGGCATCAGATACATATGGACTACACAAATCTCATTCGATTTGTGTGAGAGCTGTGATACTGCACGGGTGCCAAAACCGAAGCAGGTGGTTTCCTTAGGGGGCCACACTCGGAGCCTTTGACCTAAAGATCTGATCACCAAGGCAGTAAAGCAACGTAAGGAGATGCATTCCCATGATAGCCGATGACCAACGATTGATTCATACGCTATTTGTTCCCTCAGGATACTGGATCCCATGTGCACCATTGGTTTGGAATCAGGGTTTCCCAACTCCCCTACGTGGAATTTCGGTGTCCACCAACCCGGTTAAAGCGCCAGACATCCTCTTGTCATCCTCTCAATTTTGTAAACAACATCCCTGCCACGAGAAGGGTAGTGAGTAGAACTTTCCTGGCAGAGGCTATATGCACGTGGCCATGTGAGAGCATTTCGAGAGGGAGAGAGAACTCTTATCCACTCTCTTCCGTACCAGGTCATTTGGGGGCAATCATTCTCTAGTTGATAGGTAATTAAACATACTGCTTGAAATCATAAGCTTATGTCGAAATAGTATTCAAAAGTAATTTAACAAGGAAATCAGAAAGTGTGATATATATGAACTAGCTATGGATACTTAAATCTTTAGATATTTCTATGTCTACAAATAAGTATGTCAAGTTTCAGCAAATAATTATCATTCATATAAATTCTCTAGAAAGAGAATGACAGAACTGTTTACTACATGTTTAAAATAAGCATTTCAAACATTTTACATGTAATAATGATAATTTCAACTTTATTTGAAAGAAAGCTGATGCTATTCATTTCAGTAGATTGCTGATTAAAATTAAAACCTTTCAATACATATTACATATAATCATCGGATTTCATTGAAAATCCTTGTAACGTTTAAATTAGTTCAACTTCAATAGTTTACTTCTTAACACTTGACTAAATTATATCAAAACAGGTAAACAGCAAAATGTAAAGTATAGAAAGTTGTTTTTATTCTTGTCATTAACGCTATTTGATACATTAAAGAGTTTCATAGACATAGAATTTAATGAAAAAAAGTTAATATAATAACCATGCTGAAAAGAGATTATTCTTCTCGATGTTATCATCTATTCATAATGTGCAACTGGATACAATTTTATTATACATATATGATAGTCTATTATAATTTATGTTGTTGTATCATTAATAATGTGAGAAAATTTCAAGTATCAAAGAAAGGTTTTGTTTTTAATAATCTAAAGGGTAATGAACCGATTGAGATTGATTGAAAGTGAAAATATTTTGCTGATTGATTATCTAATTGTTGGATAAAACAAAAATGTACAGACGAAACTAAACAAGTATTCATAACAACTATTTCTTAACAGATTGTTGTATGTGCAATAATAAATAGAAATTTAGATTTTTTTTGTGTATTTCATTGTTAAAGTTCCTTTAAATTTGTTCACTCTCATTCATGTAATTTCCTTAGTCCTTTCTAATTTATCGTTTTAACGTTATAATCTACTATCTAATCCTATGAATTTACAAGACATTACCATACGATATGTTAAGTTACCATAAACATAATTATGTAAAAGGATAAAATGTATAAAATCAAAAAGTGCAAAACATAAGCATTCGGCATCCAGTGCTCAGTATTACCATACTTTAAAAAGTAGACATCATTGTAAAACTTTGTACTTGAAAATATTTAAGATATTTTACTATGAAGTAAACTATTCTAATCATAAAACCATCAAAATACAATTCTGTACAGAATTAATAGTTTTAGATCAATTTCAAATGATAATGTTTTATATATTCAGGAGGGAAACTATAATTACAAATACCCAAGGAACTATATAAACATAAATATGCTTTCGTCATTAAAAAAGATTATTCTTAACGTGACTTTCATTATACCATCAAGAAATCATGTATAATCAATAAATTTAATTTATTCAACAAGTTTATTCGACTTCTTGATATGATCTGTGACAATTATGGAATGATTTTATATTATTCCGACTGGTAATAGATAGACCAACAAAATGAACGCCGACGGATCCAGATTACGTTCTTCAAAAGACATAATGATTATTTTAGTGTGTAGGATTTGGCAGGTCTCGGTTCAAGTTGTAAGTGTGGCCTTTCACCAAACTGTGAATAATTTCGTGTTTTTCTTTTGTTTAAAGCTTGTTCTAACTCGTAGCATTCATTTCACTTTAGTTACTCAGCCAGATATTTCAGAATAACGTGATTAGAAGTCACATCCACTGTACTTTTAATATCGTTGATAAAAATTAAGTTAATGGTAAGCAAAAATGGATGGTGACTAGCAATGGTATCTAAGACACACGTTCCGTCCTATTTGAGACTCTTCAGCTGGACACACCTGCATCTCAGAGTTGATGTTCACTCCTGCACTCTGACCAAGTACCGTTCACTCTAAACGTCAGTCCGTCAACCCTTTAGCTACTGAGTCCTGATAGCCACTTGCTTGTGAAATGGGGTGAAGTTTGAATTCATTTTGTATTGTTTGTTTAAATCTTCTCATTGATGTATAGGACTGCAATTGACCAGTCATAATCAAATCTATTACATCATGTAAACAAGTTAAGATTATCTTTTTAAATTATACACTTAGAACTACTTTGCGCTTTAAAATACATATTGCAGATATTGTTTGTGAAAATATGACATTATCAAGAAGGAAGCAGGATTTTATTGATTCAAGGGAACTCAGTAAACCTATTCCGTTGAGGAATATCAATCAGGTACTTCAAAAACGTATTTTCTTAACTCAAACTATTCAAAATTTTAACCAGTGTCAGTTATATGGGTGAAGAAATTTGAACATGATCGTTTATTGAAGAAACCTACAGCAGTGGACACTAGAAAAATAAAGTCTTCTAGAAATTTACTCCAATCTGATTTGTAAGGTTTATCAGCGATTATATACAGAAATGAGAAAATGCATACATTTTAATTTTTCCCAAATGAAATCAGCTGTTCTTAAACTGTATGAACAGTTAGTGGTAAATACGTTTACAAAAGGCTAAACTTATGAGTAGATTGTTTTGCACTATTTCGACAAACAAAAGGACATGAGCCTAAAACAATCTGCTAACAACAAGCAACTTTGAAAAAACCAACGTTTAGCTATTAAAGGTTTATCAAACTTTTGCAGCGCATTTATTCCTGATAATTTGAAAAGTATTCCAAAAAAGACTAGTTACTGAGGTAAAATCTTCATTTTTGTTATATTACAGCTACAAATATTAACCGAACAAATTTTCTTAGATATCTGAGTTTTACTCTAATGTTTGAAGCTAATTAATTTCAAAGTAACCTCTAGTAATTGTGGGTGAAGCATAAGTTTTAGTCTACTACAATCCATTGCATTTACTATGTAGTTGAGTTAATGCGGTAGAACATTTATAGATCGCGAAACTCCCGTTCTAAATGGAAACGTCTTCTCGTATGAGGAATATTGACAAATAAATATAAAGTCATAACTATTGAAGACGAAGAAATGGTCGATATGAATTGCATTTCAATAGCTTTTCTACTTCCATTCACCCTTAGTGTTATAAATCACACTATTTAACGATAATAAGTAGTAAAGATTTTTGCATAAATTCTAATAGGAAAGAAACGAATTACGCAAAATTATGACAGTTAATGATAAATAATATAAAAATGAATGTTGTTAGTCTACAAACTATACAAAAAAATAAGGAACAAGTACACTATTGGTTGCCTACAAGTACTGAATGTTTTGGTATCTTAATGGGCATGCAAATTGATCCTTAAATTCATACACAAGAAAAATCATTTTCTAATCAAACGATATGTTCACTGACTCTGAAGTGGAGACGCTCGACTAGATAAGCATTGGGAGCAGCAACTATAATGTATGTGAATATGTTTCTTATGGACCTCATTGGTTAACGATAAATGAGAGAAAACAATGTGGTGATTAGCCCGTGTATT